ATATTTGTCATACAACAAGTGACACGTACCTCACGTGACTCACTACATCTGCTTCAGCTTCTTTCAGCGTCATCCTGTAAATTTAAACCCTTTTCAGCTATTTTCAGTTAACTTCAGCTGTTTTTTGGCTGTTTTGTGCTCCTTTCAAATTCTTTCTGCTAACCACAACATTTTTGCATTTCTTTCTGCCAATTCCAACTCATTTAAGCTGATTTCTGCAAGTTTCAGCTTTTATGCCATTTCAGCTAGTTGTTTTGTGCCAATTAAGGCTTTTTCAGCTAATTCCACAGCTTTTTGCTCTCATCTTCCCTCTTGTAATTTCAGCTTCTGCTTTTTTTTGTGCTACTTTTCAGCTGTTTTTGGCTAATTTCAGCTTTGTCCAGATAATTTCCACTTTTGGTGCTCATTTCTGCTTATTTCAGTCTAATTGGGCAAACATGTTCTTTCTACTTTCTTCTGCTAATTTAAGCTTGTTCTACATTTTCATCTACCTTTTATTAGAATTTTTTATCTACTTCCAGCCGTTTTCAAATAAATTCAAGTTTTTATTGGCAATTCCTTTTACTTTTAGTCTAATTTCTTTCTGCTAATTTCAGCTTATATGCTCCTTTCAGCTTTTTCAGCTAGTTTCAGCTTTTTCTGCTATTTCAGCTACTGCATAAAATGCAAGTTTCAGCTTTTTCAGATAATTCCTAATTTTTCAAGCTAATTTAAGCTCTTCCCACTTCATAGGTTATGCTTCTTTTTGCCCTTTCGGCTACTTTTTAGCTTTTTTTGTGCTAATTTTAGCTTATCTTTTTTTTGCTGATAATCATTTTTGTGCTCATTTCTGCTTATATAATCTAATTTAGCAGATATGTGCTCTTTCTGTTTTCTTCTGCTAATTTAGGCTTGTTCTTTCATTTCAGCTACATTTCATCAGGTTTTTTTAAGCTAATTTCAGCAATTTTTCAGAGAGTTCTTCTGTAATACGCATTCACACTGTATTTTTGAAGGAAATACAATTTCTCTAGTTAGCTTTAGGCTTCTCAGTCCAGCCAGAATATAAATATTTTTCCTAAACTGCGGTTATTCAAAGAGGAATCTATAGCTAGCAAGATATTTGTTCATAACCTTTCCAAAGAGCTTTACTTCAAAACATCTGAACAACCAACACTGTGAAAACTTTATGCTCCATTTAAAAATAAACTACATGATTTAAACTGGCTTTGTCTCCTCTCGGGCATTGATGTTTATGATATTTTCGGGGGAGCAAGGACATGTTATCATAACGAAGGCACACACAGAACAAGAATGACCTTTACTGTAAGCACCAGACATGTAATTAACACCGCACACAAAGTTTACACCAGGGAGAACCCCACCGATTATACACACATCACTTATGGCTTCAGAGTCCCACTGTAAAAACTAATTATATAATACCAAAGCGACACATGAGTGTGACCTTTTGAATATCATGCAAAAGCTTATCTGTTCGTCACTGAGGAAAACATTTACCTGATTGTGGAATGATTTAATAATAAAGATTAAACTGTATCCTGCTGTGCACAGTGGGCTTAAAAGCGCTTTTTTTGGAGCGGGAGTCCAGCTGTGAAATGAAATATTTTCAGGCTGATTGTAATCTGTCCCTTCCACCAGAGGAATTCTGACAATACTGCACTAATTGGAAAGTTGGCAAGCTTGTAATTTGGTGATCATTTTTGCTCAACCCATGGCTGTATTGTATTAACTACAAAATGATACGGTAGAGGTGAGAGTGATCTCGACTTGAAAAGTTTTAATGAGAAGGTGGCCAAATTAAATCGGATCACAAAGTTTTCTTTCTCGCAGGTAATTTCCACAACCCATCTGCTACAGCCTGTTGTGGTCTATGTTTATGTCAAACACATTGATTACAGATTTACAGATCTAAATTGTACAGATGACCATATTTCTAGCTTTATTATTGTTCAAAATCCACACAGACTAAAACAAAATCAAAACTCAAAGACTTGTGTATTATACACAGCTTTAATAACATGTCAAAAGAGCTTGCTCTTGATGAGGACGGATGCTTTCCCTCCTGCTCCTGCCCTCTCTCCTGCTTTGCTCCTTGTCTTGTGATTCCTATCAGAGCCTCTCAATACATATCCTCCAAATTGCATCTGGTCAGCTGGTCTCAACACAATTGACAAAATTTTCTCGACGAGAAGACAGTGCGAAGGAGAGCCCTCATCCCATGAAGGGACACTCGCAGCTGGATATATTATGGATTCCTGGGGCCAGTGGAGGATTGTGTGTCTGTATTGTTTGTTGAGGACGTAGAAGACGC